GAAGCAGACAAGAAAGTGAAGAAGAGCATTAGAGCCGACAAGAAGAAATACGTGGAAGAACTAGCAATGACGGCGGAAAAAGCTGCAAGAGAAGGAAATATGAAACAGCTGTATGATACAACGAAGAAACTAGCAGGGAGATATAGTGAACCAGAGAGACCGGTCAAAGACAAAGAAGGCAGGCCAATCACTGAAACTCAACGACAACGGGACAGATGAGTAGAGTATTTCGAGGAACTCTTCAATAGACCGGCTCCAATGGATCCACCAGACAACGAAGCAGTACACACAGATCATCCTATAGATGTCACTCCACCAACGACCAAAGAAATCAGGATGGTCATCAGACAAATCAAGAGCGGGAAAGCAGCAGGACCTGATAATATACTAGCTGAAGCACTGAAGTCAGACACCGAAGTAACTACAAACATGCTTCATACTCTATTCAAGAAGATTTGGGAGGAGGAACAGGTGCTGACGGACTGGAAAGAAGGACACTTCATCAAGATTCCAAAGAAAGGAGATCTGAGCAAATATGAAAACTACAGAGGCATCACACTACTGTCAATACTAGGGAAAGTCTTTAACAGAGTGTTGCTGAACCGGATGAAAGATACAGAAGACGCTGAACTTGGAGTTCAGGAGGCTGGATTTCGTTGCGATCGGTCGTGCACAGACCAAATTGCAACACTACGGATCATCGTCGAACAATCAGTTGAGTGGAACTCGACACTGTACATCAACTTCATTGATTATGAAAAGGCACTTGACAGTGTAGATAGGAGTACATCACGGAAGCTTCGTCGACACTACGGAGTTCCTGAGAAGATTTTCAACATTATCCGGAACTCATACGACAGAATACAGTGCAATGTAGTGCATGGACGACAGCCGACAAATGCATTCCAAGTAAGAATCGGAGTCAGACAAGGGTGTCTACTCCCCCACCTCCTCTCTCTTCTGGTGGTCGACTGGATTGTGAAGACCTCGACATCTGAAGGGAAACACGGCGTACAATGGACAGCTCAGAACCAATTAGACGATTTGGACTTCGCAGATGACCTAGCCCTTCTATACCATACACACCAACAAATGCAGATAAAGACAGCCAGTATAGCATCAGTCTCTGCATCAATAGGCCTCAACATTCATAAGGGGTAAACCAAGCTCCTCGAATACAACACGGAAAACACCAATCCAATCACACTTGATGGCGAAACTCTGGAAGATGTAGAATCCTTCACATACCTATGAAGCATCATCGATGAACATGGAGGTTCAGATGCAGACGTAATGGCGAGGATTGGCAGAACGAGGGCCGCATCCCTACAATTGAAGAACATATGGAACTCAAAACAACTTTCAACCAATATCAAAGTCACAATGTTCAATACCAACGTCAACACAGTGCTACTGCACGGAGCTGACGATTGGGGAACTACTACAACCATCATCAAGAAGGTAGAAGTATTTATAAATAGTTGTCTACGCAGTATACTCAACATCCATTGGCCGGATACCATCAGCAACAGCCTTCTGTGGGAGAGAACAGACCAGCTTCCAGCTGAAGAGGTAATTAGGAAAAGACAATGGAAACGGATAGGACATACATTACGCAAATCACCAAACTGCATCACGAGGCAGGTTGTAACTTGGAATTGTGAAGGGAAGCTGAGAAGAGGAAGGTCAAAGAACAGATATGGAAAAGGTGAATAACAACTGGAAAGAGCTGCAAATGATTGCCTAGGACAGGGTTGGATGGCGAGTGCTGGTTGGCGGCCTATGCTCCTTCACTAGAGGTAACAGTAGTATGTAATTAAGTTTCCAGAATATTCTTAATGTTTTCCTTCCTTTCAACTGTTACGTTTGAAGAGAATATCTCCTCTAGGTAGAAATTAAGCATTTCAGTCAGATATATTTTAGATCTCTAACCGTATTTAATTTTAGCATTGGCATGCTCAGCCCTTATTAAGAACCCATCCAGATTAACTTGGTATGACGAATTGATTTAAACAACTCAGTGATTGCATTTGCTTCCGGTGTAATGATAAGTGATGGCACAAAATATTAACAGGTTTATTCCAACCAGTCATGTCCTCAATTAGAGCAAGCAGACAGACAAATATTGGGTTAATTATATGCGTGAACAAATATGTAGGTGAGGTGTGTATACATAGTGACATCACATACATATGTAAAAAAATGCTCTGAATCAAAATATACCTAGATCTAATCCGATAGGTCGTCGAAAAAACACGAATATTCATGTGTATGAGTGTACACAGGTAAGAGTCCACAATTATTCATGAGTAAGTACAAAGTAATCAATCACACTCCAATTATATATTTGACTGTAAAGCGCTTAACTCATTTTATTTTAATACTCTTCTAAACGACAAGCGTAGAGAATAACGGGAATGAGTGCGATTTTTGGTTTGTCTAGAAACCAGAATAAGCCTACTACAGTAGATCAAAACGTTATCAGTCTGTGATAGTGGTGGTATATAAAATCCCACTTAGTTCACAATAAGCTCACTAAAGACATGAAAAAAGTAACAATATTTCCCACGTAATTGGCATCTTGATTACTATCATACTGGTACTTTTTTCTTTTTTAATGGTCAACATACACACTGATTTCATCACTGCACTGTCAGAATCGAAACGGCATTTTAGCAACAACTCTTTTTTCTATACCCAATCAACGAATAAAGGTAACACAACTCGGTGAATTTAACGCATTTCATAGTTATCAAAAAAGACAAGTAGCTAAACAATCATACTATGATCTGAACAAATTCCTTATAATGTTATCGGTTCATCTTACTACGCTAGATTGTCACTAGATGCTAGTAACTGATTTGTTGTAATGAAAATAGTAACTCCAAAACACGATCTTAAGATGCGATGTTCATGTCTTGGAAATAAGATCCAAAACGTAAGAGGTTTAATGCACTTGTTGTCAATACTGAATCAAGCTTGCCAAATTGTCTCAGAAAAAACTCGCCTTACACCCATGGGACCAGTCGTCTATTAATGTAGCTTTGCTTGATTGCAAAGAGAATTCGTCTAGGGTGTTGCAGGTTATTCCAGCACTACACAGGTTCCGCCCCAAGGTAAGGACAGTACCCTCAATTGTCCAACTACCAATATGCACTTAATTTATAGTCCAGTTGTTGTGGACTCTGATGTCTTCATTTGAGCTTACCAGGAGACTTACACACGAAGAGCTTTTTGAACAATATGCTTTCATTTTATGCCTGGTAAATAAGGATTATACAGAATGATCACTACGTAGAATAACCAGAACCATGTCTATTGACTCCTTAGTAGTAAATGAACCCTATCGATCAAGTTGCAATGCGTTGCTACTTTAGGTGACTAAACATAGAGTGTATTATGTTTGAATATTGGGTGGTTGGTGAGAGAACAGAGACCTTGGCTTTGTCCTGGTTGGGACTAGTCATCGAGGCTTACATGCAAATAACGCTCCCCCATATGGAATTTTAACCCACATCAGTCTGAGATGTTGGTACTGAGCAGTTCGTTTTTCAACAAACCTCCTTTAGGGCTGATGTATTTACATTGATCAATGAGCAGTAACCAAAATCATAATTGACTAGGCTTTAGTGCTGACCTGAGGTAACTAAAAATTTCAACGCTTCTGGTTTCCATCCAGATACAGGAAACGCTAAAGCAATACACGAGTTTTTGGGAAAACACGCGTTCGGAACATGATATATTACCCAGAAGCGGTACGAGAAAGAAGCATAAGATGGAATCCTATATTTAAATATGAGGGATAGGAAAAGCTATATTCGCTTATGATCACATTATATTTAGCTTTATGAATACCTCGAAAATAATTTCCTTCACTTCTCCACACCAATTTTTGTCATAAGCTAAAAAAATGCGTCCTCCTCGTCCTTATTATATCAGTCAGTCAGTAACAACGCAGAACTTCGTACGTACGTACACCAGTTCGAGTTGCCACACCACATTAGCAGAGATGCAGTTGTCGATTCAAATCCCATAGTGGTAGACGTAATAAGAGTGTAAGCAGTAATCGGGAAGATTAGGGTTTGGAGATGTTATTTAAAGAGTATAATCCAGTGAAATAAATTTGGAAAGAGGAAAAAAGGGACATGAAGAATTCAGAAGATTAGAATTTGGGAGAACACAGAGAGTGGATGCACCTGCGCCATTGCAAACGATTTTGAGCCATGTCATTCAGGGTCTCTAACCATCGGTTGCTGTCATCTCGCGGTCCCCAACCAGGTAGTCTACACCTACCAACATGACTCAATTCACTTGTCAGTGACTTCATGGACTTGTGCCATGTTTTGGTTTGGCCGCCCCTAGCTTTCTTCCAACCTACTCCTATACCACTGAACATAGCACGTCGAGGCAGTCGGTCGTTGGGCATACGTAACACGTGTCCCAGCCATCTCAACTGATGAAGTTCCACTACTTCATCAATTGATTTGCCATCCTTACCTAGTACCCGTTTCCTAACAACTGTGTTACTTACTCGATGGTCCCATGATATACGAGCAATGTTTCGAAGACACCTATGATCAAATACTAGAAGCCTACGGATATCCTCTACTCTTACCGGCCATGTTTCACTGCCATAAAGTAGGACGGAACGAACTGCTGCGCAGTAAACACGTCCTTTGGTTGATAGACGGATATCTCGCCTACGCCATAAATGACGCAAGTTGGTAAAAGCTAGTCGAGCCTTACTGCTGTCACACCCCTCTACAGTCAGCAGTACGACTTCGCCCTCAGACCTTGAGTTGCTGCTTCTGTTGTTCCGATTCATTTGTTTGTTACATATAAACCGAAGACAGAAATATGAAATATTGAATACTAGATCGATGATATGAAGGTTAGGCGCTTACCACGAGCTATCTGACGGTGACATATATGGGTAATGTTGAGGAGACCTATATATTAAGACACAACGGATATCCAGTGCTTTGAGATTTTCAATAGTTGTTTCATTAACGACAGTCTGTGATGTACACTACAAATGAGCAATCTTCGCAAAATTCCTAAACTAGCAATTTATTAATAAACTAGGATAATAAACACAGATACAGAAAGATGTAGAGAATTAAAGCTAATAGATAAGAATGGAACACTTTTTTTATAGAATATACATATGATTTAACAGACAAAGAAAAGATACTACAATGGAATAGGGAAATCAGTAAAACAAAGTTGTGAAGCAAATGAAATATAAATTACTCCAATATATTTCAGCGAACAAGTCAATCATTCATCTAAACTGTTGAGGTTGTTAGTTCAAAAATATCCACCATTATTTACATGATTCAGACAAATCAAGTTCCAGCAGGTACGGTGTTAAATATGTTATGATAATTGATGCACCTACACACAAAATGTGAAAATAAAAAAGAGGAAAAATGTTTTTTAAGAAATACATAAGTATGTTTTTGGTTAAAAACAATAAAGAAAATGAATATTACGAACAATCAATAAAAATCTTTGTTATGAAGTGTATAATAGTCTAAAAATGGTAACACTAACGAAGTTCATGTACGTGTGAACTAGTATGTGTAGAAAATTCTGTTGAAATTAATTAGGTGGTCACTGCAGTTGAGTTGAAGTTAGAATAAGGTAATAACTTTTAATCGTTCAGCATATAGCTAATGATCAAAACAGGTTTATGTTGACGGACTAATTTTCTGAAACAGGGGAAAGGTATGCACAGATTTGTGATTACACTCCAATTATGTTTCTTAACAAAACACCGATAACACTTTTGTAATTCGCACTTTTGGTACTGTACTAATTAATATATATCATTTAGGATAATTAATTTGTTACATAAATGTGCATAATGTGATAAAATGAAGTCTATCCGAAAAATGTAATTTATTTATTTATTTATTTATTTGAACACATAAATATTGGTACAAGAGAGCGCCAATATATATGCGCCACACAAAACAATGAAAATTCGAAGAGAAGTAGAAAAAAAAACTCAGGAGCGCAAAAGAAAAAGAGAACAATGACGAAGAGATTGGAGTAAGGTAGTGTGGTAGTAACGAGGGAACGAAAAGGTACAATCAGAAGAAATCTTTCAGGTAAAGGGGACACAACCACTTTTTATGAAGAAAGTAAAAGAAGGTTACAGCAGGATCGCCACTGGCTTCTATTCTGAGCCATATCTGATAACGTCTCTAGCCACTGTGTAGCACCATCCCTCGTACCCCAGCCAGGGAGTCGTGAAGGACCAACACAAGCCAGTCCTTTGCAGCTTTCTTTCATGCCACGACACCATGTCATGCACTGACCACCTCTCCGCTTCTTCCAACCAGTCCCAGAGTCGGCAAATAATGCACGACGTGGAATTCTCTGGGACGACATTCGTAGAACATGTCCAAACCACCGAAGTCGGTGTTTCAAGATGGTGACACTAATTGAGTTATCATCTCTGTGCCCGAACACACGATGCCGAACCTCTGCATTACTGACATGGTGTTGCCACTCAATGTCAGCAATCCTTCGGAGACAGCGATGATCAAACACAGAGAGTCGTCTAACGTCCTCAACTCGGAGAGGCCAGGTTTCACAAGCATAGAGCAAACCTGCTCTCACCGACGCGTTGTAGATCCGGGCTTTTACAGCCAGACTAACATCACGAAGGCGTCAAAGGTGGCCCAGATTGGCATAAGCCGCTCTGGCTTTCACTATTCGTGCATTGATCTCATCACTCACACCCCCACCAGCACTTATGCAGCTACCCAGATACACGAACTTCTCAACTACTTCTATCTGCTCACCATCCAGGGTGAGTACAGGATTAGAATCCTGCCAGTCTTGTAGAAGTACTTTGCACTTCGAAGGTGCAAAGCACATACCATACCTACGGACACTGATTGCCAACTGATTAAGTGCGGATTGCATGGCTTGGGCATTATCGCACAGTAAGACAATATCGTCCGCATACTCAAGGTCGAGAAGTCTTTCTCCAGGCAACAGATCCACACCGTCACTACTTACATTCATCAGAGCTGTTTCCAGAATGTCATCGATGGCAAAGTTGAAGAGGAATGGTGAGATTGGGCAACCCTGCCTAACCCCACTGCTCGTATGGAACAATGGAGAGAGGTGGTTGTATGCCCTCACTCTGCCTGAGGTGTTTGTATATAGAGCTTTTAAGATGTTTATAAACTTCTCAGGCACACCCTTCTTCAATAGACAATCCCAGAGAACAGTCCAATACAACGAATCGAAGGCAGCCCTGATGTCAAGAAACACTACGATTGTTGGCCTTTGATAAGTATAACGGTGTTCTAACATTTGGCTGAGGGTGAAGATATAATCAATACATCGTCGACCACAACGAAAACCAGCCTGCTCATCGCGAGTCAATCTTTCTCGGGTTTCGAACAACCTACGAAGTATGACGGAAGCCAATAGCTTGAACGCAGTCGGAAGTAGACTTATCCCCCATAGTTGTTACAGAAACGACGTGAACCCTTTTTAGAGATAGGGACAACTATCGACTCATTCCCATGACGTTGGTACACTCTCTAGTTCCCAGTCCTTTATAAACAACGTCGTCAATTCCTTAGTCAGAAAGTCACCACCAACTTTAAAAAGAGTCATCTTGGCCCGGTGATTTGTAACGCTTCAAGAGTTGGAGTTCCTTGCGGACTTCCTCCTCATTTGGTGGATCAGTCGTCACCGGCCATGGAGGGCAGGACAGTCTGACCGATGTTGCCGGAGCAGCAGGCCAGTTGAACTGCCCTTCGAAAAATTCTGCCCATCGTCCAAGACGTCGATGGATGTTAGTGATTGGCATTCCATCATCCTCGCAGATTGTTTCACTCACACCAGACTTCTTGCTGCCAGTGGCTCGGATGAGCTGGAAGAGCTTCCGGCAGTTACCAGATGCAGCTGCTGCTTCCAGCTCATTAGCACGCATCGACCACCAGGCTTCTCGGTCCTTACGCAAGCTTTGCCCAATTTCCTCACGTAACATCCTTCGTTTATGGTCAAACTCACGGTCACCCGGAGTAGACCGACGGGCTTCAATGAGTTGTAAGGAACCAGAAGAAACCCAGTGCTTAAAAGCGGGACGTTTCGCAAACCCACAACTGACTGTTCCCGCCATTTTCATGGCGTCATGCAATTGCAACCAATGCTCATCTATACTTTTCGGTGGAGTGGTAGCTAGCCTAGAGGCTAGCTCGGTTCGATACTTACTTGCAACAGAAGTTGCAACCAGCTTGCTAACATCAATCCGTTGATGGCGTTCACTTCGCTGTCCACTGAAAAGTAAGGCAAGATTGGCGCAGACCAAGGCATGGTCAGAGTCCAGATAGGTACTCCAAAAGGAGCGGCAGTCTTGTACACAACCACGCCAACGGTAGCTGATCGCGATGTAATCAATCTGAGTCCAGGCTTGAGATGCAGAGGGAGGACGCCAGGTGGCATATCGACGATGACTGTGCCGAAAGTTAGTGCTAGCCAGAAACAGGTTGTGGTCTGTGCATAGTTGCAGTAGACGGTCCCCGTTATCTGACCTGCGACCAACGAGTCCCCATCGGCCACCTAAACGACTCTCTTCTGTGCCTAGACGCCCGACCTGAGCATTCAAGTCTCTGGCTAGTACTACAATATCTGTCGAACGCACTTTCTGGAGAAGAACAGATAACTGGTGGTAGAATTCATCCTTGATTGCATCCGGGCTGCAATCTGTCGGAGCATAGGCGGAGATGACGAAAAGACATAGTTTCTCACGCCGATTTCTTCTCACTTTGATGGAACTTTCTAATCTAACAGCACACAACAGACTGTTAATGGAGATCCAATCGACTAGTGCTGCCTCAGCTCTAGCGCTTAGTGCGACACCAACGTCAGCAAGACCAGACGAAGATGCCACAGGGTCCCCGGATAAGCGCACGTAAAACAAGCTTTTCGAAGCGACAGATGGAGATCGAATTTGTAGTACTTCGCCAGAGTCTTGAGTACGGGTCTCGGATAGACAACACACGTCGATATTAAGACTTTCCAAAGACATAGCCAGCCCTATCTGTTGTCCGACCTGCATAAATGTGCGAACGTTGAAGGCAGCCAGTTTGAATGGTGCACGTGGTTTCAGAAAACCTGCTTCAGTCCTCGTATTCGGTGGTAGCATACAATTTTCAACCGGACGGTGACTCGAGAACGTTTAGATACAGTCGGATTTCCACCAAAGACGACCCGCTGTATAAGTATAAAAGAGGGTGAATAATGTGGAAAATAATAATAATAATGATAATAATAACAATAATGACAATAATAGTAGTAATAATAATATTAGTATTAATAATGACAATAATTGTAATGATAATAATTTGAATCAATTGCTTGTTTTTCAAAGCGAGAAAGGTAATTTCCATAGGCATAAAGAGTTCATCAGTTTGTGTGTGGGCTGTGATACTGCCCGGGTGCCCAAACCGAAGCAGGTGGTTTTATTAGGGGACCACACCCGGAGCCTTCGACCTGAAGGTCTAACCCACAAGGCAGTGGAGCATCGTAAGGAGATGCAGTCCCATGGTAGCCGGTGACCAACGATTGGTTCATACGCCATACGCACCCGCAGGATACTGGAGCCCATGTGCACCATTGATTTGGAATCCGGTTAAAGCGCCGGACATTCGCTTTTCGTCCTCTCATTTTCGTAAACAACACCCCCGCCACGAGAAGGCAATGAGTAGGACTTCCCTGGCAGAGGCTGTATACGCGTGGCCGTGTGAGAGTATTTCGAGAGGGAGAGCGGACTCTCCCCACTCTCGGCCGTACCAGGGCCCTCCCCCCGAATTTATTTGCATTCTATGTTATTTTTTTCATAAATAAATGGTAAGACATGATTACAGGTTATAATGAAACTAGTTGCCTTTGGGAATACGTTTTGTTTTGATGCAAATCATTTGAAGTTAACATCAAGTAAACCAATAAATTTGATCTGAATACCTATGGGGTGATCAGTAGTATTTAAACAACAATTATTATGAATAGTTTACCAAGATGCGGAGAAAAGTTATATAAAATTATAATCTACATCAAAAATATTTCTAATACAAACAAGAAATATTGGTTAAAAGACTAATATATGAACGAAGAATATTCTTTTCAATAAATTCTCTTCAGCTTCTACAATTATATATCCAAATTAATGATTCGAAAAGTGGCCAGGTTGAGGGCAAAGTACAACGCTGAAAGTTATAGCATGCGAACGGTGGAAGCAGTAGCCATTACGATGGATACAAAGAAATATCTTAAACCGCCCGTCCTACCTTGGCTCACCACAGGACTAAATAATTAATAACCATAGCTATTGAATGACCTAATTTGAGTAATGTACCTACAACCGTTCTTAGTCAAATACAATTGCCTGTTGTATTTATTCACATATCTTTGTATTATTAGTGGTTTAGCATTATTATTAATGTCTCGAATACATGATTCATTACATTAGCATTCATCCCACATTACCATTTCTTAATAATTCCAAATAAAATTTTTTACATAATATAGTCTTCCACTAGACATTTGATCGAATTTGTGATTGCACTATCATTTCTCTCACCTTATCTGACCCATATTTATTCCGATCATGAACAATCTTATAATTTCACTTAACGTATAAGCCGATGCAAGTTAACATTTCATATGAGCTATCTCAACATGAACAATTTTATTTTACAATCCTACATTTACCTGTTATTACTGTAAACGATGTACTTTGCCCTAAATCTGACCACTTTTCAGATTAGTAATTTGGATATACAATTTTGTAGAACCTGAAGAGGATTTATTGAAAAGAATATTCTTCGTTCATATAGTAGTCTTTTAAGATGATGGGGATTTTTAAACAATCAAAATATTGGTTACTTCATGAGCATAAGCAAAAATTGTCTGGTACTGAAATTTACCCGCACGACGGAATGCAGTCATCAATTCTAAGGCGGCTTGCTTTAAATCGATAGCTCCAGCATTTGCGGCATGTTTTAGCATTGCATATTCACCAGAAACATGATAAACTGCTAGAGGATGATGAGGTAGCTGAAATAGAAAGAACAATATCAGTAATGAAATAAATTGTATATTTATGTAAGAGCTATTATGAGTTTTGTTTTAATTTTTCCTAGGCGTCTGAATAACTTTAGCTGGATATTAACACACTACTTGTACAGGTAATAATCGTCTCTCAAGAATAAAAGAACTATTTGTAAGAACAATTAGGGTATTTTGATAAAATGAGTGAGAAATTCATTCTGAAGTATAACCTATGCTGAGTAACTGTTTTGCTTCTTATATTAACTATCACTTTAGGTTGAGGAAAACCTATATGAATGTAAAGTCACTGCATCAGATTGTTGAACAGCGTGTGCAAATTCAAGATTAGCGTTCAAAATCTTATCCATAGTAGTCTATTTTGAGCTTTATTTTTATGTGCTCTAATATAAACGCACTGCTAACTTTCATCTTAGTCTGTAAAATTATTATAAGTGCCCACTTGTTCTAACTTAATAGTCTTGAAGAGAGTCTGTAAGTACATCGGTTCAATTTGTCACAGCCCATTAGCACACCGAGATGAAGTTGTCAGGCCAAATACCAGAATAGTAGATGTAGTAACAGTATCAGTGGTGATAGGAAAGATTAAACATTGAAGATACGATTCAAGAAAATATAAATTAATGAAAACACAAAAAGGTTATGAGGAATTTAGAATTTAAGGATTTGGGGAAAAACAAAGAATGGATACACTTGTAGCATCGCAAACGATTTTGAGCTGTCATTCAGTCTCTAATTATTGAATAATTTACAACTGTTTTAGTAAATTAAGGTGTTCACTCTTTAACGATATTCTTTCCAAAATGGTTTTTCACACAGGAAAATTTACCTACTAATTTGCGATTAACTAAAAATTCTTAACTCATACTCAGAATACTAAAAATGTATGCACATGTTTTAGTTGTCAACTTCCGAATGCGATTTCAAACATGGGTATATCACAGAACATGCCAAAGGTTTGTTTGATCAGACGTCACGACACAGAAAGTGTGAATCAATACAATTTGCTGTAAAACAAATGACTATTATCGTCGAAATACCAATGCTGCATAGATAGTACATCCGAAGAGTTAAGAAAATCACAGGACACATCAAACAAACACAACATGGACATACCAACTGTCGTATCTCATTTACAATATCCAGATAAGGAAGACCAGGTTTTACCATTATGAAGTCAGCTCCTTCGTTTGCATCGCGAATCTGGAATGCGCAAACGTTAAAAGCAAAACAAGGAAATAAAAAACGTTAAGAGATTTTTCGCAGTAATTATACAACGTATTTAGTTTAAAAATGTGATGCAACTAATTAAGTGTCTCAACGTAGGACATAAATATTGTCATTGAAACTGTACTGTGTAACAAATCCAAAAAGAATATACCATTAGATGGGTAAACTGATTGATTAGATAAACGAAGTTATGCTCTGTTAATATTAAATTCTCTGAAGATAAAAAAATTGAAGCAGTGTAAGGTATCTATAATTTAATTAACCATAGGACTTGATTATCAGTCACACTGTAAGTGTCTCAAGAGTATTCAGTTTATTGCTGTTTGCTCAGTAGTTTATATAAACATTCCTTGACTAATGCTTCTGGGGGGATGTAGTCTTAACTTGTGGTAATTGGTCTACATAGCCAGTTATAATTACACAAAAATGATAATGACGCAGTGACCGCACAAAAATTAGATGCTAAAGCATATGACGATATATTTCCTCAATGTCATTAAACTATCATATTCAGGGGGTTTTATTTACAAAGTTTATGCAGGTTGAAATAGAAATTGTACCTTAACTTAAAATGAAAAAATGAAAACTAACCGAGTCAAATATGCTTGTTTTAATTTACTTTTGGTAATGAGAACCATATTACCTTTCCTAGTTTGATGATATGTCTACAGCGCGATTGTTAACATCCTGTAGTATGACAAGTAAAACCGATTTGCTACTGTGTTTGATTCTACAGTCAAGTTATATGATTAGCATGAAGATTAACAGATGGGAATTGGTGAATCCAGTCTGAAAGTTAGATATGAAATCACTTCTAGTAAACTATAAACTATGAAGGACCTTTCATTTTATTGATAGATTTGAAGTAAAACAAACGTTATATTGAAATAAAATCACGTCAAATTTCAAATTCAACACCAATTCATTTAAGAAATTGTCTATGAATTTAAACCCATTTGAAGTGACAGCCTGTTAGTTTGAAAAATGATCATCTAAGACTTACAGCAGCACGCAGAGCCAATCCCTTGGCACCAGGAGGAAGCTGGTAATGCCGACGGTCTCCAAAAGAAGGTGCAGATTGAGCAGCATCTCTGAAACGTAAACGTATTAATTACATATCACTCTTAGTTATCAGTTCAGACACTATATTTTATGCACTAAAAATCAAAAGTTTGAAACCCACTTCATCAACTAGTCACTAAAATCATATAATATTACAACCTCTTGTATCTGGATTACAAAGACCCATAATTTGTTTATTTATTTGAACACATTATTGGTATAAGTGGATACCAAGTATATATGCGCCACACAAAATGAGAATTCGAAGAGAAAAAAAAACAGTTATCTAGTGGTAGAATTCATCCTTGATCGTATCCGGGCTGCAATCTGTCGGAGCATAGGCGGAGATGACGAAAAGACATAGTTTCTCACGCCGATTTCTTCTCACTTTGATGGAACTTTCCAATCTAACAGCACATAACAGACTGTTAATGGAGATCCAATCGATTAGTGCTGCCTCAGCTCTAGCGCTTAGTGCGACACCAACGTCAGCAAGACCAGACGAAGATGCCACAGAGTCCCCGGATAAACGTACGTAAAACAAGCTTTTCGAAGCGACAGATGGAGATCGAATTTGTAGTACTTCACCAGAGTCTTGAATACGGGTCTCGGATAGACAACAAACGTCGATATTAAAGCTCTTATCAAAATAGAAAAGAGCACTCATTCAACGACTAAAGCATCAAGATATAAAGCTAGGCCAGTTCCAAAGAATTTTAACTAATAATCTCGTCCTGGTGTTTCCAAGCTTTGGAAAAATACAAGGCTAGAAAAATCCCATACTACTGACCTTTATCTGTGTCGTCAAATGAAGACTACATCAGGTTTTTTTATCTCAGCTGATAGTACCAAACACATACCATTATTCATCAAAATAAGTCACAAAACACAGAGGCAACACCTAACTGTCAGTAAACTCGACACCTTATCTGGGAGTTTGCAGTGCCTTACACACACAAGTTTTTAGGTTATCTCAAAAATTATTTTTACCTGAAAGGACCGTACAAACAAGATGCAAATTTGGCCGAATAAGACATAACGGCTACCTTTCCACTGAGACCAATACTTTGTATAGCCGTCTTGATTTTTTTCACACGACCATCCATCATATCAGAAGGGGCAATAACATCAGCTCCTGAAAAACAAAGTCAACGTAAACTGTATAACAGATGGGTATCTACAGCCTATTAAGACGTCAAAAACTAAATGACAAAACGATATCTGATAAGTATGAATAATCTAAATGAGCGTTTTTTTTTCTTACAGAAGTGCTAGACAATGATGTTACACACAAAGAAACTTTTCGTGTTTTATAGAGACCATCTAATAAGATAGCATATTAAGTCACAGTCGGACACTCCCAAAATCACTGTATGGATTACATTTAACACAAATGGTTGTACCACGATCTGGATTACTGATGCAGCTAGCTCCATTAGTTCTAATAACAGATTCCTCAGTGACTATTTAACTACCAAGACTATATTGACCAGACGTTCTATTTACTCTGAAGAGAGGTGGGAGAGTGTATTTTATGGGATTGATTTTAAATGGGCCTAAATCCTGAACATTTTCTTCATAACGAGGAAACCAAAACTCATCAAATCACCCAACGCTTTACTAGGGCTCATAAAGAGTGAACCCGGTAAAACCAGGCTGTTTTTAGATCTGCAATTGGATGTGTTGACAAAATACTCACCCTTCTTCAGGTTTAAAAACGCAGACATACTTAGCGATATTGACCATAGCGGTATATATTAATAAATAGAGATTATGCGACTCTGTTGACCGAGATTCTGTGAAAATATTTGGCATTGAAAGACGTACCGAATAAGTACATAAAGCTTGTGAAAACTTTCCACTTAGACACTATTGGTCGAGTTAGAGGCTACGGCTATATGTAGACCTTAAGTGGTGTTCGTCAGGGTTTCCCACTATCTCAATTGTTATGTACGCTCATCATAGATGTCACTGGAAGTAACACTCTCTTCACCTAACTTTTCGTAGATTAGTACCTCAGGATGTTCATTTACAGACTCAGAGTACGCAGATGTACTCCTTTCTGGCGAAGACGCTAATAATATTAAGTCTTTCGATCAAATTGAGCAACAATGCTAGCGTGTTTAGGATGGGTTTCTCTCCCCCCCCCTAAGTGCTAAATGTTGTTTCAATACTAGTCTGTCTTAACGCCTCAATTAGTGATAGGGAGTGAAGTAGGTGAGTACGCTGATTACTTCACTTATCTTGGAGGTCTCGTCAGTCTTAGTGGGTTGGTGCCTAACCGAATCCCGACATGGACTCAAAAAACCCGGGTGGTATCTTCCATTTTGCATCGCTTGTGATGTAGTAGAGGTGTCCGCTTGTCGACTAAATAGTGTACACTGTGTAGTAGTAAATAAAAAGCTATAGTAGATACATTCAATTGTTGGGACAGCTTACTTAATTAATTCTGATTTATATGCTCAGATAGTATTAGTATTCTGGTATTATGTGGCCTTCATAACCCAGTAAGTAAACCAGTACACGACAGTTACATTTAGTAAAAAGTACTCACCTTCTAGGGCAAATCGTTTAGATATTTCTGCTAAACGTTCAAGAGTCCTAGGTACGTCAAGGCACCCGTCATCACGTAAAACACCTAAATTATGTTTAAAAACAAATGTTACACAGTACCACAATGGCCACTGTCAGTATATGCACACAAACAAACATCACAAATCACTATTAAATCCGGAAATTTTGACTTCAGCAACTTGATTGCCTGAATGACTGGTGAATTTGGTGTATCACAAGCTGATCCTGTAGCATCTTTTTGGTCTCTACTGATTGTCCCAAACAACAAAACAGATTTCAGCTGCTTATCCACCAAAGGTGTTAAGAACTCGATGATTCGGTTGTATCCTATTCGACGCTGGTCTATTAGACTAGTAATTATTTTATCACAATCGGGGTCTTGGCTGAATGGATGAGAAAACAATATAATATACCTGAGGAAAATTGGATACACAAGATTCTCAGCACTGACCTTATAGTTTGCGGTATGCCACTGTCTGAACAACAAATTCGAGTATGATGAATGGAGGGGATGAGTAGAATGCATTACAAAGTAAAATACTTTGAAGCTTTTGATAGCTTTCAGTAGAAGTGAATTGGTTATGTGATCTGCAAGATAAGAATAATAAAACCTGATTTATGAACAGTTAAAAAAACAAACATAGTTATGAGCTTAATGAACCAACCATCTAGTAGAATAAACGACTATTTTAATTTTACATCTAAGCAATTGAAACGGTTGTTTGTGAGGATCTGCCACATACCAGACTGCGAAATGTAGGCAATTCAGCGGCCCTGTTTGTTAATCATAGACGACGAAACATGGGTAACGAATGATTGAAGTATCTCAACCACTTAAGGTACACAACCTTGCCATGAGATTTGTGATTCCTGTCTACTTTGTAAGTGTATTTGAATTCCGACACAATATTACGAAGTTATTATCACCATCTATACATTTTCTTAGGGTGATAGCAATTGTCAAGGCGTGTACCACATGTAATATTTAAGTGCAATAGGTTTACACGTTGGTTACTACTCTGACCCCATGACAACCTATCTCAAAAGTTATCGAGTTATTGTGTGTAACATTTCTAAATTTTAACCCCATTAGATTAATTTGTAGCACCAACCAAAACCTTTCGTTAACGTCCAGAATAAAGAAAAAAGCAAGCAGTAACCAACCCTGACAACTGGCTTCTGAACAAGGACGATGTGACATCGTCGGTTAGGACGGTGGATGTTAGTTAAGAACATGCACCGTAGTGCATTATTTTGGTAAGTTGTGATTACGTAAAACATCTTTCAGATGACTTCCAGGTAGCCGAGGAATTGAAGGCAACATTTACTGGAGATCTCGGTTACAACGCGCACATCCAAATGACACGCTTTCGTATCAAACTGAAAAGTCTAAGTGATAAATTGATAATTTTCTGCATTAAAGTGTTAGGGCAGTAAAACGAAAAATGAATGACTATTTGTACACGTCTGAAGAATTACAGGTAGCTGAAGTGAGGGCTGGATGCATTCTAGTTGTTACCAATCGTCAACATCTTGACTGGTAACTTCTCATCAATAGCTAAATACATCATCCCTCCTAACGGTGTTGCTAGCGAGTAAGTTTTATTCATAAATTTTATGGGAATAGGTCGCACACTTGTCCCTTATCCACTAACTTTGAAAGCGATCAGTAATCTGTTGAATCATATCAGTAAAATGAATGAGTACACGATAACTTCATCCACTGTTGTATAGGACAAGAATAGTTGCAGGATTGCCTTTTTGTTTGGAATTTCCGTTAAAGAAACAGAACTTGGCACTTTAGAAGCTGCATTGCAAGGACAAAAATTTCTAACCATGGTATTGATTTTCAGAATCAATCAGGACAATATTTCTTTATTAATGACAAGGAGAAGAAGCAAGTTTTAGTTATCCCTGGCAAATGGCTGGTGGCCAAGGAACATTATATTGATCGGGATGATGTGACAATAACCGAAATTCTTCAAAGTATTGGTTGTGATAGCGGCTTTACTTTGAGAAAATGCACCGTACCGCATCGTTTCGGTAAGTTGTAACTACTTCTTTCATTGATCTCAGATGATTACCATGAGGTCGAAGAAATGAAAGCATCTTTCACTATAGCACTAGGTTATAATAACAAAAAAGCAACTGATGACACGCTACCGTGTAACTTAAAAACCGAAAAGGTTAAGCTGTTCAATGCACGCAATTCACTTATTGTCAGGAATGCAAAATGAACATTCAAAGATTACTTGTGCACTACCGAAGAACCGGAGGTTGTTGAAATCGGAGCTGGGTGTGCACCATTGGACTTACTAGTGGTCAACGTTTTGACTGCAAAATTTTCACATATAGCGAGGTATGTATCTATTTAATAAATGCTCATAAAGTAGTTCATCGAAAACAGAGGTTCTCTTAACACTGCTACCATGTACTTCAATGGAAGTTAGTGAAAAGTTGTACTTAATGTAATGGTTGCACACTGTTGACAATAAAATGATGATGAAAACAATCAGCGATCTGTCTACAAAGATGGATAAAATGTTTGATTGCATGGAAAGCTCATCCATTGGTGTGAAAGAAAAGGTGCAGCGACCACATAGACACCCCAAGTCTCGTATTCCCATTACAAACACATGAGTTGCGCACTTTGGAAGTTGCTTTGCAGGAGCTCAAGTTTCGTGATTAGTTTGTAAGTTCTAACAGGTGTTTCAAAAACTTTTAGGTGGCCAGATTGCACGAGATCATGTGTGATGATCCCCGTAAATCAACCAAAGCATATTTACGTTACTTGCTGTCGCCGGAAATGGCTAACACATACGCTTTACATGGAACTAGTAGTAAACTGGATATGTCATTACAGATTCTACCAGACGATTCAAATCAAGTTCACACTACAGTATTAATATATTTGTAGGTGTTCTGGGTTCCCGGTTCTGAAGTACAACCTGTCCGGAAAAAAAGTAGCGCACGCCATGGATGTTGCAAGCCAGGCTTTCTTGCACGACGCAAGAGATAAATTAAAAAAGCGTGGATGATGATCCAAAGAAAGGGTGAGCTCAATGCGCTTTAGGTTTGTGACTAAATACTGGTTTTTGTTTTCATATTAGTTTGTGATAAACATTTATACTGAAACAACTATCCCTTGTCCATATTATTTCCAGCTGGCTTCGCAAATGTCCAAAACGTAACTAAGTTTCGTATTCGGATTATTCACAATATTGTTCTACCGTTGGTATATCAGCAACGTTCTACATAACATTCAGGTTTTGATGACTGCCATGAAATTTCTTTGAGTAACTAAGGAACAGACTTTCTTTCTGTAGAACATTTTGAATGGTAGTTCAACGTCTACGTAACGCACTTCCGGTACTAAGAAATAGAAAGTCTATTGCTTGTCAACAATTTGTAATTTATTAAACTTCAATAAACATTTAAATGTGTTACGAATCAGTCTTTTAATTTCAGAGATAGATCGATTTTCGTTAGGTTTCTTTGGCACTGTGTTCACTGTTCGTAATTGACAAGAAAGAATGGGATACCTGGGTAAAAACTTTTAGGTAGTTATTATCGACAGGCTTTTCCGTGATATCTGTCGAACAATGAGAAATAATGCGTAAAATGAAGACAGTTTGGATTATATCACTGAAATTGCGCCAAATTTTGCGGTTTAGTAAATAAGTAGGGACGAAGTTCCCAAAAGCGTAACAAGATTCTGCGAAAATATTGGTGACGAAACCCGATGTTCAGGGGAGATTTTGGGTAAAAACTCGAAATGTACCCAAAATTGTGAAAAAAATTTGCAGTTTCATAAACAAATACAGGCCGATTTCCCCAACTGTAATAAGATTTTGGAGAAATTTAGGGGAAGTCTTGGGGAAATTTCGGGGTTTTGATTACATTTCCCCAAAATTGGAAGATTCGGCTATCATATAAATGCTTGATACAATTGGCTGTCAGTCGTCTCATCTCGTTGTATTCAACAACATCAGTCTAGAACAAAAATCTAACTCTAGATAGGATGAACTAATGTGGTAATCTAATATTTTGATCGTAACAAATACTCACCCTCTTAGTGTTATCTCGTGGTAAAAACGGCGTGGAAATACCCAGGTCAAACCAGCAACCTTTGCGTCTCCACAACCTTGAGAGGCTTGGCCCAAGGCGGGCATTCCATATATGAGTTCAAATGGTTCAAATGGTTGTGGACGGAATAGAAGAAGCTTTCGCTTAACAGGCTTCCGTGTCTAGTAGCAGGGGATCACGAAATCCTCCAGGCAGGAACCTAGGTATGTTGAGGCTGGTTGAGTGTGTTAGTTTGCATAGGTTTGTGGGTTTTATGATCTGTTGACGTCCGATAAACTAAAAAGTGTTGTTGAGAACCATTTAAGGTACATTCTCTTTCTTTTCTCTAGCTGGAGGTCGCAGCTACTGGGTTTAGAACCATCTGAACTTTAAAATGGACACTCACTAAGTTAGATACTACTGTAGCGGTAAATAAATCCCCAAAATAAATAGCACTAAGTTTTCGACATTGGATGCTGACCATATGTTTTAGTGGACTCACCTAGCTGAAGGCGCTCGGTCAGTCATCCGCACCAGATCACGTGTGGTAACGCCGTGCTCAACATCAATCGCAATCGCTAGCCAGATTAGATCAGAGAATTCCGATATATTGGTCATCGCCAAATATACTCTTCCGATCTCCTCGACTCTGTCTTTTGATTTCTCTGGGCGGGAACGAAATATATTAGAAGGTGTTACTGGTAGAAGCGTTGTCAAACACTGAATACCTGTGACATCATCATTGGTGAAACCGACGTGATCTGGTACACCTAATTGCAACTGTGAGTCTGTTCCTTTTTGGGATTTTTATATATCATTGCCTTATTTTTTTTAACTTTTTTAAACATTGTGATTTTTTTTTCGTGTTTTTTCCTGGATATATATATTTTCCTCTTGTTCATTATCGTACTTCATACTTCATCATGACTGAACACACACCTAAAGTACTCAAGCTTAAGACTTTGTCCCCGCCTTCGTTTCAACTCATGCCTTTCTGGCCCGACAACATCGAAGCCTGGTTTTGCTACGCAGAAGCCGACTTCTCCGAGCACGGCGTGATCGACACACGTACACAATTCCTCGCAGTAGTCAAGGCACTACCGCGCGAATTCAACAGGTACGTAACACCTAGTATGTTTACTAGTGATGTTTCCGATCCTTACGAAATCTTAAAACGCTCGATTCTTAAACGAGGAGACCTAACCGATCGACAAAGGTTAGATCAACTCTTCAACAATATCGACCTGCAACACGGTTCTGCGACAGACATGTTGCAACGGATGAGAGAGGTTATAGGCCCAAGAACTTTCGACGAAGGCCTATTCAAACAACTCTTCTTGTCAAAACTTCCCCAACAGGTGCAAGCAGTTCTGGTCTCGTTCCAGAACAACGCCTTAGACGAGCTAGCTGCATCTGCCGACCGCATATTAGAAATTACGAAATCTACTACCGAGGTATTTTCAGTCAAAGAAAAACCTCAAACGACTCAGAATGATATAAACGACTTATGTCACACACTCACGCGTTATCTTAGTCTTCGTAACGACCGTAAGAGATCGCGCACACCACGTAGAAGCATTTCTCGTAAGCGATCTGTCTCTAGACCACGAGAGACAGATAACCCCGACTGGTGCTGGTATCATAACCAGTATGGAAAGCTTTCCAGAAATTGCAGAAAACCCTGCAATTTTCCCAACACGAAACCGACTGATTCGAAAAGCAATTCGGGAAACTTCCAAGCCGGCACGCGTTAACGGCAACCGTAGCCGGCGAACAAAGCCGTCTGTTATTCGTCACAGATGTGACAACGAGAGTTCGTTACCTCGTCGACACTGGCGCAGAAGTTAGCGTTCTCCCAGCAAATCCTAACGACCGGCTTCAGGAGTCGGCTTTTAACTTACAGGCGGCAAATGGAAAACCGATCGCTACGTATGGCAAAAGGTACGTTTACCTTAACGTGGGTTTACGCCAACCCATCCACTGGATTTTCGTTGTTGCAGATGTTTCTATGCCAATCATTGGTATGGACCTTCTACAACACCACAATCTGATCATCGACACCCGCAAACGGAGGCTAGTAGACGGAAACACTAATTTGTCCGTTTGCGTAACTTCTTTTACTGGTTGTAGAGTATCCCCAGTCACAGTTAAACATATGATAGACCCACTCTATCAACCACTACTCGATAAGTACCCTGAGATACAACAAACTCAAACGAAACTACCGTGTGTAACCAGCAATGTTACACATCACATCACGACTACAGGACCACCTGTATTTTCTAAAGCACGCCGACTAGCTCCTGAAAAGCTAAGGTTAGCGAAAAACGAATTCGATCACATGATGGACTTAGGAATCATACGACCGTCAAGTAGCCCATATGCATCTCCGTTGCACATGGTCCCTAAAAAGGACAGCAACGATTGGCGTCCAACTGGTGACTATCGGCGATTGAACGCGAAAACCATTCCCGATCGTTACCCGTTGCCTCACATTCACGATTTGACAGCTACCTTGAAAGGTACAACTGTCTTTTCGAAAATCGACTTGGTCAAAGCGTATAACCAAATCCCTATGGCTACTGACGACATACCGAAAACAGCTATCATAACTCCTTTCGGACTCTATGAATTTTTGCGTATGCCTTTCGGTCTAAGGAATGCTGCTCAAACATTCCAAAGATTCATAGACGACGTTTTTCGAGGTCTCAACTTCGTACACGCGTATGTTGATGACTGTCTAATCGCAAGTCCGGACAGAGAAACACATCTCAAGCATCTGGATCTTGTTTTCGAACGACTTCAAAAACATGGCATAACTGTAAACGTTCAGAAATGCCAATTCGGAACCGACTCGTTAGACTTCCTAGGACACACTATCGATGCTCAAGGCATTCGACCTCTTAGGACCAAAGTGGCGGCCATTCTGGATTACCCAGAACCGACCACCGTCAAGCAATTACGCACGTTTAACGGCCTGGTAAGTTTCTATAGACGTTTCATACCGAAATGCGCATTACTCATGAAACCTCTAACCGACCAACTTCGTGGAAATGCGAAATCCATTAATTTGGACGACACCGCACGAAAAGCATTCTCCACAGTTAAGGAACTGATTGCTAAAGCAACAATGCTCGCACATCAGGACACCCGAGCACCCATTAGCATCGCAGTAGACGCATCCGACTCGGCAATCGGAGGAGTCTTACAACAATGGGTTAACAACTCCTGGCAACCCTTGGCATTTTTCTCTAGACGGTTGCTAGACACCGAATCGAGGTACAGCACATTCGGTAGGGAACTCCTAGCTATGTATTGTGCTGTACGGCATTTCAACACTACATCGAAGGTCGTGAATTCACTCTTTTCACGGACCATAAACCGCTCACTTTCTCGTTAAGCTCTCCTTCTGACAAGTACTCTCCCCGTGAGTCTCGACAACTGGACTACATTTCGCAGTTTACTTCAGATATTCAACACATCTCTGGAGCAAACAATGTAGTTGCAGACGCTTTATCTCGTATAACTTCCTTGAACAGTTTCCAAGGAATCGACCTTCTTAAACTCGCCGAGCTTCAAAAAGAAGACACTGATCTTCAGCACGAGTTATCGTCCACAACACTTAAACTACGCATCAAACAGATGGGAACAGGTAAGGAAACCTTACTTTGTGACACATCTACAGGTAGGGATCGCCCAATCGTGCCGAAACATTATCGACACAACGTCTTCAATACTTTGCACAATCTTTCTCATCCAGGTGTTCACGAAACCATCAAGCTCATAGCAGAACGGTTTTGCTGGCCTGGAATGAATAAAGACGTGAGGGAGTGGGCACGCTCCTGTGAAGGCTGCCAAAAATCTAAGGTTATCAGACACAATAAATGTCCCTTAGGCTCGTTTAAAACTCCCGATGCTCGTTTCGACCATGTTCATCTGGATTTGGTAGGACCTTTACCAGATTCAAATGGATACTCTTATCTCTTAACCTGCGTAGACCGTTTCACTCGATGGCCAGAAGCAGTACCTATCAAGGACATCACTGCTGAAACAGTGGCTCGCACCTTCGTCGAACGATGGGTAGCAAACTTCGGCTGCCCTTCAACCATCACTACAGACCGCGGACGTCAATTTGAATCTGATCTTTTCCGTCGTCTGACCACTCTTTTAGGAAGCACTCGCTTCCGAACGACCGCCTACCATCCACAAGCAAACGGGTTGGTAGAACGTTTTCACCGACAACTGAAAGCTTCGCTATCAGCTACAAACGTTTCACAGTGGACCGACGCTCTTCCACTCGTCTTACTAGGTATCCGCAATGCAGTGAAAGCTGACATTGGATACACTGCGTCTCAACTCGTTTATGGTACGACACTTCGACTTCCAGGAGAATTCGTGGATCCTTCATCCTCTTCAATGAACATGGATCTAACCTCCTACACGAACAGGCTTACAAACGCAATGCGTTCAGTTAAACCTGCTTCCACCCGACCTCAATCGACTGATGTTTTCGTTCAACCTGACTTACGATATAGTACACACGTTTTCGTTCGTCGAGACTCGCATCGACGACCCTTCGAATCAGCATACGAAGGACCCTTCAAAGTTCTTTAACGTGAATCTAAGTACTATATAGTCGATAAGAACGGAACCAACGATAGCATCAGTATCGATCGCTTAAAAGCAGCGTATTTAGAAGGAAATCCTATCTACGTGGATTTTCCTTCGGTACAATTGAACGACACGACTCCGACACTTATAATACCTCATCCGACAACCAACACACACGATGATACTTCGACAGTATCCGAAAATAAACTTAAAACGACGCGTTCTGGAAGAAGGGTGAGATTTCCAGAACATCTAAACGACTATTGCACGTAAGGCACTTCTCGACATTTTATATTATTTTTAAAAAAAAAAACAATTTTAATATGCTTATATATTTTTATTTCTATTTAAAAAAAAACAAAACAAAAAAACAATTTTTTTAACGCTATTACGTGTTCATGAGTTTATTTTCCATTTTTTTTTCCGCCGACATTGTGCTTTGACGCACATACGAGTGTATTTCGACATGCACTTACATTTTCTTTTTTCTTTTCCAGGACGGCTGGAAAAGAACGATGACGTTT